CAACTCCGAGGTCTTTCTGGATAAGATCCCGGTTCAAAAAGGCTTTCGCGGGGCCCACTGCCCCGATGAGCAAACGTTTCCCTGGTGCCTTGGGTATCAAACATAGTCCAATCCTCAGAGGCTCTGACCTCTCGTTTTCCCCAATGCGATGGGGTAGGAGGAGGCCAGGGAATAGTCTCTTGCCTCGGGATCGCTCCCCCAACGGCACCCCGGTCTTCCATGAAGTCCGATGACAAGGCAGTGGCCGGGACGGCTCCTCGGTCCTCTGCCCGGAAAAAAGGTTTCCCTTCGGCCCCGCTCATGATCGATGTCAGACTCGGGGTGAGGGGGAAAAGGTGATTCTGAACAAAATGTCAGATCCCAAGTCAGGAGAACAAACCCACGTTCCAAAGAAGTAAGATTTATTTCCAAAGCATGGTTAGTCATGAACATACAGAGGTTGCTCAGAATGACGACAGTACACAGGGGCAACATAATATAGGAACTTCAAACTTGGTTAACCCAATGGGTACATTTCCCTCGTAAGGGAGCTGATTAGAAAAGGCGCGAAGCAGCCTGAGAATCACAACAGCCAATTTCATAAACACAAGTTGAGTTCACACGGGAAATCTAATTAAGCCCGAGCAACAAGACACAACACTCCGTCATCCACCTGCAGGAGAAACTTGGCAGTTACAGAAGCATACCAGAAGAGAATAACAAGGGGAGGGAAGGGAGGACGGGCAGGAATAGGGACGGGACGTGTCCCAGAGGAATGGCAGCGAGCTGACACCTCCCACCCCCCGATATTTGCATAAATGAGGTTATTTGTTTCATGTATTTTCTTCCTTGTTACAGTCAAAGGAAGGAATAGCATTTCTTTTTACATTCAAAATTAATGTCCATGTGTGTGGATTTCATTTATCTTGAAAGAGATGGCTTGGGATCACAGCAGGCACTTTTCATCGTGCATGGAAAAGATGTATTTTGAGATGAGAGCATATGGCGAAAATGGAATTCTTGTCTAAAAAGACAACTTCATCTTTGCTGAAAAGCTGCCGTCGGCTAATTCTGACAGTGCTCTGCAAGTCAAGTAAGTTACTGTCTCCATTATTTCTACAGTACTTGCTCTCTTATACACCATCCTCAGGTACCATATGTAGAGTTGCCAGTCCCCAGGTGGGTTTTTTTTAAAGGTGGGAAATCCTCCATATAAATGAACCTCCAAAAATAATCAAAGACACAAAATATGATATTCACGCATTATTTACTTAATCATCAATAGCAAACAAAAAACCCAATTTCAATACTAATCTTGAAATTCATATAAATAAATTGTGCAAACAGAGAAAGATCCAAGTTCATGAGTCACAGAACAAAGGATCCAAATGTAAATTACAAATTCAAAAGTCCACACTGGCCTTTAGATCTGACTCCGCTGCAAATGCCTGATGGCTCTAAAGGGCACGATCAGACAGCAACATCTGGGAAAGGTCCTGCAGTTGTCGGCACCCCGTGCTGCTCCGCCACAGAAGCAGAGTTAAAAGAAACCAGGGGAAAGTCCGGTCCTAATGCTTGCTGACGGGCCACGGACAGACTTTCCTCTGTCTGGCTGCTCAAGCACACACTCAAGCCATCGGCACGGTCTGCTCGTTCCATCCCGACTCATTGCAGGGTTTTTTTCCCTTGCTTAGCAGTATGCACATAACCGCATACTCCACGGGGAACCCTCGTTGCGGAGGTGCGATTCCTTGTTTATGCGCATGGGACACAAAAGGCAAAAAAAAACCCCACTCACCCGAGGTGGCGTCGGATCGTGCAGAGATGGGCTGCATCCGCAGCACAAAGGGATGTATAATCGCATGACTGCGAGTCAAATGCCACAGGAGGAAATAGGGGCACTTCCCCTCTGCACCAACTGGCATGTCTGACTGCAGCCTCAATACACCGTTGGTACTTCAGGTGAGGAGAATCCTCTGTTCCTGAAGACTTAAAAGTTCTGTTCATATAGCAGCTCTGCAAGTTTAGTTCCAGTTGACGGGGTGAACTGGTGTTGTAGCACCTCGTTTCACCAAAGCTTGATCCAAGATGGAACTGTAACAATTTAACAAGATCCAAAATTACTGCATAATAAAATATTTCATGTCACTGCATTCTTCCAAATGCTTATATGGATTCCACTCACCTGAAGTACCATCGGTGTATTGAGTGGGCTTTTGAATTTGTAATTTACATTTGAATCCTTTGTTCTATGACTCAGGAACATGGATCTTCCCCACTATTTATTTATATGAATTTCGTTAGTACTGAAATTGTTTTGCATGTTTGTTATTGCTGATTATGCAAGTAATTTGTGAGTATCATATTTAGTGTCTTTGAGTACTTTTGGAGGTTTACTTATACGGAGGATTTTTCCCTTTTCTTTTTCTTTTTTTAAACTTACTTCATCCCTGTATCTTATTTTTCTTGCTAGTCTCCAGGTGGTGAATAATCAGCCACCAATGGATGTACAGCAGATGCAAGTATGCAGACCACCAAACAAAAGTGTACAAAAGTATTAGACAACAAATACTGTCCTTGAAATGGATTATTATTTTCTATTACAATCCATGGGGTTTTTTTGTGACTGTGTTGAGAGACAAAGCGGGAGCGGTTGATAACGTCTGTAAAAAAAAGAGAGGATTGTAACAGAAAATAATAATTCATTTCAAGGACACTGTTTGTTGTACAACACTTTTGTACACTTTTGTTTGGAGGTTTGCAGGTCTCCGGGTGGTAGCTGGAAATGGCCTGGAAATACAGCTGGTCTCCAGACGATAGAGATCAGTCCCCCTGGGAAAAATGGCTGTTTTGGAAGATGGACTCTATGGTATTATACCCTGCTGAGATCCCTTCCCTCTCCAAACACTGCTCTCCCCATGCTCCATCTCCAAATCTTTAGGAATTTCCCAACCTTAGCCCCGGTCACACGGCAAAGTTGCCGCGGGAGAGGCACGGATGGTGGGCGGATTATCCGGGCGCGATCACACCCCAACATCTGGGAAGTGGAGCGCACCCGTGGCTTACCGCCGACAATGCGCCTTAAAAAACTAGTACCTCCAAGGTACTAGTAAACGTTTGCCACGGGCTGCCTCCAGACGCCCGTGGTGTAATCACGGTCCCTCGTTTACCCGCCGGTGCCGAGGGAAGGATCCGTGGTGTGCCGCCGGCGCGTCTGATCGCATAATCGCACATCAAACTACGCCGGGGCAATTAGTCACGCCTCCCCCCCGCGATATCCGGCCTGTGTGACCGGGGCCCTTGTCAACCTTCAGTGAAACTCTGGCTGGGCTTGACTCTTTCACCTTCACGATCTGGAAATGTAGTTAATATTGCCTTCCCTTCTCCTCCAACTTTATGGACCGAATTCCTTAAGAAGTGTACAATGAAAGCACCACTGTGGATGCAGAACATCCCTGTAAACGGTATCCTAAATCTGGGAGGTCTCCAGGCCACACATGAAGGTTGGCAACCAAGGTTTCAGTGGAGCTGGAATTCTGCTCCCAAACCCTTTTACTCCAAAGCCAGTTTGGTGTAGTGGTTAAGAGCAGCAGACTCTAATCTAGAGAACTGGGTTTGATTCCCCACTTCTTCACATGCAGCCAGCTGGGTGTGACCTTGGGTCAGCCCCAGTTCCCTCAGAGCTGTTCTCTCCAGAGCAGTTCTCTCAGAGCTCTCTCAGCCTCACCCACCTCACAGGGTGTCTGTTGTGGGGACAGGAAGGGAAGGAGACTGTAAACCGCTCTGAGCCTCTGAGTGAAGGGTGGGTTATAAATCCAGTCAGCTTCTTTTCCTCCTCCTCCTCCTCCTCTTGGCTGCAGTCACATAAGCTAAATAATCCACTTTCAGTTACTTTCAGTGCACTTTCCAGCTGGAAAGTGGGCTGAAAGTGGATTATTTAGTGTATTTGACCGCAGCCCTTTCTTCTTCTTCTTCTTCTTCTTCTTCTTCTTCTTCTTCTTCTT